TTGTCGGCCACCAATACCACGGGTTTAGCGCCAAAGTAATAGCCCATAACTTTGCCGTATTTCGCTATCCATGTCTTATGAGTGTCTATGGAGGGCATTGACATATACTCAAGCACATTTCCCGTTATTAAACTGGGTCTCGGACCCGGTATGCCATTGCGAGCTAACACTGACATGTGCCTGATCCGTTTGATAAATAAGTACGTTAAGTATGTTGTTGAAAATGTTATAATTATCACTATCATCAACATTTTAAAAATTTAAAATTAAATTTTTAAAAATTTTTGTTTAACCTGAGAAATACACAACTTATGAATACACTTTTGAAAATAAATAAATTGCTAATTATTAGTCCAGATTTATACAGAAAATTATACTGGTATTAAATTTCACTGTAAACATACAGTATAGCAAATGGATGTTTTATTTATTAATAACGTGAAAAAGTATTCAATAACTTATTAAATAAAAGTTTTTATTTTTTAAAGAAACTAAATATTAAATTAAATAAACTTTTTTACAAAGTAAAGTACAATATTAAATTCTCACTGTATTTATATAGCAAACAAACATTCACATTATTATTTAACAAAAAACTTTCAATCAATTATACTGTTGCTAACTATGCCATCAATTACTGTATTTCCATTTATTAATAAGTATATATAAAGTATATTAATTAAATTGAATTGAATTCAGTTTTAATTTCTAATAAAGAATGAATTTATTTGATTTAAATGCAAATGTTATAAGTTTTATAATACACACATTAATTCTCTTACTATTACTGCCACCAATGAAAGCAAAATATAGTCATTTTAAATACGGATTTTAATTTTCATAATAAATGCCTCTAGAAATAAAGTGTGATTATGAAGGTAGTGTAGTACAATTACAAATGAAATGAGCAAATGTAAACAAGGTTCAATTCAATGGTTGTATTAGGGAGCAGTCCAGAATCCTATCGGGTCCACCGTTTTGTAGAGTAAGACTATTTCCGGTAAGCTGTGGTCGAAGTGAGTCCATCCATACAGTAATAGGCAGTCCTGTAATGTTTAGGGGACCGCCTGTCAACATCTCCAACGGTCCCATTAATAATGATCCAGTTCCATTGTTAACCAGTAGGTTTCCTTGAAATAAGTCATTTATTTAGTAAGGATTAAATACAATAGATTTATAACATTGTTAAGTAAAATATAGAAAATGTTTATAAAAGTATAATTGTAGTTTTAAGTAGGACATACCCATCACACCGGGAGGGTTGAGAAAGCCAAGGGGCCCCCCAACCATATTACGTCTGGGGTTATAGACATCGCCCACATTGGGACAGGTGTTGTTCACCGACCGGTTATTATTGGTGTTATTGGCGGTCGTCGACGGAAACAAATTCTGAATAGGATTCAGACCTCCCGACAGAATCTCACGAATATTCGGCAGATGTATGTCCGATGTATTGATTCCGAATATTTGACGGCTTTCCAGTTCAGTCATGTTAAACAGGCTACGGGGCAGTGCCCCCGATTGCAGAGCATCCCTTTCCCCTTGGGCTGCGTTACGCCAATTATTGACGGTTATGCCTAACATACAGTTGTTTACGGCCGCCTTTGATGGGGTCCTCGTAGCGGAAGTCATGTTAAAACAACTAATATTCCTGAGTTGGCCCATGAGGTAAGTGCCCAGACCTGGGTTCCGGTGCATTGTCAGCGCACCCTGTATGCCACTGGCCGTGTTGTTGAATATGGCGATCCCAGTCCGGGCACTGGTAGTCAAATAGATGTCTATTAATAGAAAATAAGTTTTTGTTTTTATTTGAGTATTAGATAAGAATTGATAATTTATTTGTGGTTTACATACCAAATGAAAAAATCAAAACTAAAAACAAAAGTAATTTCATTGTTTTAGGAAAATGTGTGCTTTTTATTTGTGTTTAAACAACAAAAAGTCAAATAAAACTTTTAATAACTGCTTAAATAGTGGTGAAAATGACACACTTTTGTTTAGTTGACAAATATTTTTGACACTATTTTAAATTAGCAATGATTTTATGCGGGAATAAAAACAATTCATTATTTGTAGTAATATATCAATATAACTTTATTAAATTAAAACAGTGAATGATAATAATAATGTTTAGGAATAAATATAAGTGTTTTAAAACCTTCATATCATAAATTAAATTAAACACAATTTGTTATATAAAAACATAATTAAATCTGAACTTATATTTATGTCATAAATGTTATAAAATATAAGTCAATGTTTACTCATTCAATAATTAGATTAATTATCATAGGATTTTATTTGCATGCATAAAAAGTGTCTATGCAATTTTCATTTTCTATTATTAAGCAATAATATTATTTTTAATTATTGTTGACAATAACAATATGAGAAAATGTTACTTGAAAATAAAATAATTAATTGTTTTTTATAAATGCAACACAAAACCTTAGTTTAAATAAGGTAAATAATCTAATTACACTTAAATAATGTATTAAATATTGAACTGAACAAATAGAAATCAATATAATTTCAAGATTCCCGTTAATTCATTACTAGTAAAACTGAATTTCAATCTCAATTTAAAGTCTTTTTTGTTATCAAATAAGAAAATCCTTTTTTGCATTGGACTTTAACATTGTGTTTAATTATAATCAAATAAAAATTGATACTGAACCGTATATACGGTAATACTACAATATACTGTATTTCGTTATAATAATGTTATTTAGTTCACTACTACCTAAGAATGAATGTTTGATTAAATTAAAAATCTAGTTATTTTGATAATACTCAAGAATCTACTCTACATAAAGTTATTTTATTGTATTATAATGCCATAAGGTAGTTACTAGACAGACTGTAAATTTATAATGTTATTCAAATTAAATACAGTATTGCATATAAAGTAGACAGAATTATTATAAAATCTATCACATAAACTGGAACATTACATAAAATAAGTATGTTAATAAATTGTTACCAATATTTGCTGTGATAACAAATTAAACAATTCTTATCATAGAAAATAAATCTATGATTACATCCCAAATTACTAATCATAATATTTTATTATCCCTTTTAATATAAGGTCAAAATCAAATGATAAATAAATGCATAAAAAGACAAACATTTGACATTTATTGACAGGTACTGAATGAAAGTATACTTTATAAATGAAACTTGTATCAATTTCTAATACTAACAATTAGTAGTAGTATTTATAAAATGTTTCATAAAGTAGTATTAGTTTTATTTAGTATCCACGTAATTGTATGTAATGGTAAAACAGTGGACGTAAAGACCAGCGTCGGTACTGTGAGGGGACAGACCGTCGATGTGGAGAACAAAACGGTTAACCAATTTTTAGGCATTCCCTTCGCTGAAGCACCCGT